GGCGTTATTTGCATCTTTCGAGAGCCTTCGTTTCCCCATTTTGGAAACAGGTACAAACAGTGTTTTTCCCAGAGTGGCAGGGACTGTGAGGAGGTGATATTCCTGGAACACCACTTGACTCAACACAATTAGCAAGGTAGAAGCAAGAACTCTGGGCAAAGCAGTCTCTCCCTCCCCAGCCCACCACGGCTCCTGATCTGGGCTGAGGAAACATGTCCTCTTTTCCCTCCTTAGTCCTTTGCCCAGGAGGGATGCTGCCCGCTGCCCAGAACTTCGTACCAGTCCACTTAAAACAACCCCGTCTGTCTCCAAGGATCAGGTGACAGGCACTTACTTCTCCTTCAGGAAGTCCCTCCCTTTTCCTACCTCCCACCCCTGAGAGACACGGAAGTATTCCCAAGGGTCTGCCTTACTGCTTTGATGTCTCCCTCTCTAGCACATCCTGTTCATTCATATCCGACTTACCTCACCGTCTGGGCTCTTCCTCAAGGGTTAAGGCCCTTCTTAAATGTGTGAGCCTCCCCCTCTCTCCCGTCTCTTCGTTCCCCACCCTTCAATTTGCCCAGGAAGCTGCTGACATTCAATGCAGGATTTCGAAGCACAGGAATGGATACCCAACAGCTTTGATTTTACAGACTTGACCTTATCATTGTTAACAAATAATACCAAGAGTAAGTAAAAAAGATATTTTTAAAAATTTGTGACACTTTCCAGTCGGCGCTGAGCCACGGGCATCTCTCGGGACAACTGGCACAAGCGCCGCAAGACCGGGGGCAAGAGAAAGCCCTACCACAAGAAGCGAAAATATGAGCTGGGACGCCCCGCTGCCAACACTAAGATTGGCCCGCGCCGCAAACACACAGTCCGTGTGCGTGGAGGCAACACGAAGTACCGTGCATTGAGGCTGGATGTGGGGAACTTCTCCTGGGGCTCCGAGTGTTGTACGTGCAAAACAAGGATTACTGATGTGGTCTACAATGCATCCAACAACGAACTGGTCCGCACCAAGACCCTAGTAAAGAACTGCTTCGTGCTCATTGACAGCACACCATACCGACAGTGGTACGAGCCCCACTATGCACGGCCCCTAGGCCGCAAGAAGGGGGCCAAGCTGACTCCTGAGGAGGAAGAGATTTTAAACAAAAAGCGATCAAAGAAAATTCAGAAGAAATACGATGAAAGGAAAAAGAATGCCAAAATCAGCAGTCTTCTAGAGGAGCAGTTCCAGCAGGGCAAGCTTCTTGCTTGCATCGCTTCAAGTCCAGGCCAGTGTGGCCTAGCAGATGGCTCTGTGCTGGAGGGCAAGGAGCTGGAGTTCTATCTGAGGAAAATCAAAGCCCGTAAGGCAAATAAATCATCCTCCCTCCTAGCTTAGTCTGAGTAATAAAGGTGTTTTGTGTTCTGCGAATAAAAAACCACAAAAAAACTTGTGACGTCCCCTCTTGCTTTGAGATTGCTACTCTGTCCCCTCCACTCCTCCCCACTTCAGAGGGCCCTCCACCTGCCCCCCACAAGTGCCCGGGTTCTCTCTCGGAGTATCTCCCAGTTCTGACTCCTACTGGGCTGTCCGCATCTCAAAGTGACTGTCACACAGCCATGTCAGACCTCCCACTACCCCATCAAGGGCACTCTCTGGGCTCTGTTAGTTCAGGAACTTGATCGTCCTGTGCAGAAGGCGGAGTTCCCGCCTCGCAGCACCTCACCTCCGAGACAGCAGATGCATGAACTGGGCAGGTTAATGCCACAGTGCTCGTGTGCCAGGCTCAGAGCCACCGGGGACCGGTGAGGAGATGCTGGGCAGGCGCGCTCTGTGCGGGCAACAGTCATTTTGAAACCGTAGGGCATATTTATTCCAACCGAGTAAAGACAAGGCAATCCAACTGCCAGCTACCAAGAAGGATAGAACCAGGAGTATTTGATCCATGTAACTGTCCAGACAAAGAACACTGAGAACAAAGGCATTTTACTTTGTAAAAACAAAACAAAAACAAACTTCTTGAAAAATTAAGTCCTTGTCATACACTTTTAATTTGTTTAAAAGGAAATGAATTTTGAATGAAGAAAGGTCACCAGGTCATTTTATTAAAAGCACTGTACTTTTTCTACTTTAGAAAAAATGGTGATTAAGTCTCAGAGGAGCTTCCGTATAATAGACCAGCAACACAAATCATTCAAATTATTTCTAGTGCTGAGAGAGGCTTTGCTTCCTTGCAGTGGTTCTTCCCCATCCCCTGGCAGGTATTATTTATTTCCTGTCGACATTTGAACCTGACTCTTGGGGGATGGAAGATTGCCCCTACTCCCCAAGGTGGCAAAGAGGGTGCAGGCCATGTCAGCAAGTGAGCAACTGAAATCATTACGGCAACAGAAACAGGTCTCCAAGGGCATCTGCTGTAGCTTCCCTTCCTTAACAGGTGAGAGGAGCTCGCAGGCTACAGCTGAGGACGGTGGCAGCAGAGCCCCTCAGGAAAACACTGGGCAGGAAGTGCTCTGCCACTGGCTCTCCCACCCTGCCCACCTTCCTTCCCCTAGCCCTGGCCTAGCAGGGGCCCAGCAGTCCTTGGCAGGCATAAGCACATTGTCAGTTCAGCAAACCCTGACAATTCATGGTCAGTGGCAGTTACGGGAAACAATTTCATCCGCTCCAACCCCTGCTCCCCCACAGATCAAGTCCATTAGAACATCAGCAAATCTTTGGAAGTTATCCAGATGCTAACTAGCTTCTTGCAGCACGTACTAAATGAGAAATGTCAAAGGCTGTGGCTATCTCATAAATGTCTCCAAGATTCAATCTGAACACCAGAGTGCCGTGCAATTAACAGTCATTTTTAAAACCACTTTGTAAATGTGCCTGACAATAAAAACTCATAGGGTATAAACTATGATTCTAGCGTAAGTCTGGAGATCTTTCCACATGTGTCATCTACTACATGCAGGGCCAGATGGCAGAAGACGGGGGGCCCAGGCCCCGGCACCCTCATGTCCAGGACAGACTCCATTGCTAACTGCTTGTGCACCCTCCAAGCCTGCATCTTAGGCTGCAAAGTCAAGGATGAAAGCATATGAATACTCAGGTCCCTTTTGGCTCTCACAAACCACATTAGTCAAAGTAAATACTAGGCTATGTTGCTGTAACAAGTAAACCCAACACCTCAGTGACTTAGCCCAACAAAGGTTTATTTCCTTCTCACATGAAGTCCCTTGAAATGCTCCTCCATCCAGTGCCTTAAGGATCAGGCTCCCTCCATCTCATGAATACCTGTCTCAGCACAGGCCTCCCAGGTCCCCACAGCAGGACTGAAATAGCCCCCTAACTCGCTTGTCCGCTGCCTCTTTTGCCTTTGTATCGTTACTTCCCCACACAGCAGCCTGAGTGATTCTCTAAAACAGCTGTCAGATCCTGTCACTCCTGTACTCAGCAAGCCTCAGCTTGAATTTCCTAGGAGCCATACTAAAGAAAGTAACAGGAAACAGGAGAAATTCATTTTCATGTTTTTCTTGAACCTCCTATCTCCAAAGTAGTGTCACTTCAACATGTAATCAATGTAAAAAGTATGAATGAGCTGTTTTACATTTCTTGTGCTAAATTTTTGCAATCTGGTGTGTATAGGTTACACTTACAGGGCATCTCAGTTCAGACTCAGCAGAGCACAAGGGCTCAGTAGCCACACCTGGCTGGTGGCTATTGGTGAGCGCAGCTCTGGATTATAAACTCCACGGGGCAAAGACTCGCTTTGCTCACTGTTACCCACCCGCTAGAACAGCGCCTAGCACATGGTTTTTATATCAACTAATTATCTAGTTAACAGATTTCTTGTCTTCCATCTAATAAGCACGTGTTGAAGATATACAATATGGGAAGGGAAAAAAACATGGTGGAAATAAAGACGATTACACGAGGGTACTTACAATCTAGTAAAAGGTAATATTGCTAAGAAATGGAAAGTGCAAGGTAACCCCCCCCCCCAGGGCAAAGGAAAACAACCTATATCAATTTTAGCAGAGTAGGGAAAGGCATGATTAGAGCTGAGATGTGGCTCAACCCTGGTGTTGGCAGGTTATTTCGGGGAATGATGGCAGAGCAGAGGCAAGGGGATCGCAGAGAAGATTCAACGACTGGAGGAAAAGCGATGAAACGTGGGCTGAGATAAGGGTCAGGGAGAGAATCTACAGGGCCCGGAAGCACTTTTAAAGGCTGAGATTTTGAGCTTAGTGGTTAGAGAAGACAGTGCCATGATAAACCTATGAAATCCCAAGGCAGAACAGATTTACGGATGAGGGGAGCTGATGGTGACTTACCACCATCTGGTTCTAACACACTAGGCCCAACACGTGACCTCATTTCTATCACTCTGACATCTTTACTCTGCCCGGCTGAGCAGCAAGAGTAATTCCAAGAACATTCCACGAGGAAACAGCAACTACAGAGAAGTCAGAAGATCCCCCCCTCTTCTGGGCCTCTTTCCTTCTTGACAAAATGCTGAGGGTGGTGCTGGGCCAGGTGACTCCATCCCAACCTGAGGGTCACTTTTCTACCAGGTCTTCAGAGCTCTTTGCTTGTACCATGGTAGCTGAGAGCTTGACTAGAGGATTGTATGGATCTGAGTCTAATTCTCCCAAGAATTGTTCACATAACACTTAGGTTATTCTTCAAAAGTACCTGCCAACAGGAACACGAAAGCCAGGAGCAAGCTCAGAACAGCCACTGTCATCACCAAATCCTCCCAATCTACAGCTAATAATTTACAGGGTGAGCAGCCCGAACACTGGGCGTGTAAAGAGTCACATTTCTTCACTGACATGGTGATGTCCAGCATTGGAACTGGCAAGCCTTTCTACAAAGGGAAGGGCATTCTTCTTATCAACTTAAGTGTGTGTTTACATGACATACAGACTTCTGAACTCAGGGCTAGAAGCAAGGAACATTCTCGGGAAACCCATTTCTCTTGTCCATGTATGTGAGGTTCACTGTATCCAGAAAGGCAATAGAAGCACCTTACCTTAGTCGTTCTTCCTCTTTTTTTCGAAGATTGAAGTCTCGCTGAACCACCTGGAGAACATGCTGTGTTTCATCATCGGTCAGACCAGACAGGTCCAGCTTCCTCCCCATGATTTAATACCGAACAGAGACGATGACACACAACCTGAGAAATCAAGGGGAGACCACAAATTAAGGGCAAGATAAAAATGATCCATGGATGGGGGCCAGCCTAGTGGCTCAGCTGGTTAAGAGCTCGCTTGGGAGCACCAGCTCTGAGCAGCAGGGCTGTGGTTTGGATCCCACATTGAGGGCCAGTGACGCTGCGCCCTCTACAGCTAAGATGGTGAACAACAGCTTGATCTGGAGCTGGGCTGCTGTGAGTCGCCAGCGACGGCGTAGGCTGCAGCAGGGCTGCAGTGGGCTGTCGTGAGCTACCATGAGTGGCTGGTAGCCAGCATGAGCGGCTGGCAGCCGGTGTGAGCTGCCGGGAGCCGCTGTCAGTGGCTGACCAATGACTGGCGACTGATTACCTCACTGGGGAAGAGCACAATGGTCATACCAACATGGGCCAGTGAAGCGACGTCCTCCACAACTAGACTGAAGAACAAAAGCAGCAATTTGTCTACCTGTCTGTTCCCCTTCCCCGATTGCCCAGTGCTGTTCCCCTCCCCCCAATTCCCCAATAAAACCTTTAAAAAAAAAAAGATCCATGGATAAAATCAACCGATTTTGTTATTAAACCAAATTAAATGCAGTGTTTATATATGGTGCTATCTTATACTCATACTCAGAAAACATTTACAGATGACTTCAGCAAAGCTGCAGAGAAAAAGACAAGATAACTGGTCACCTGCCTGTTTCATTCATCCTAACTCTTAAATTAGAAATCAATCAATCAATCAATCTTTTCAACAAAATGAAGTGTATACAAGGACCTAGTGTCCATTTCCAAGAAATACCAAAAGACAATATCCAAAAATTCTAAATTTCTATGGTTTGAAGTTTTAAATTCTAAGTACTTACATGTAATTGCAAAATAAAATTATAATACTTTAAAAAATATCCGCTATACATTACGTATCCTTTGAACTTTTCATCACATGACTATGAAATATAAACTAGAAATGAATAAACTCTCTTCTGAGGACATAATATAGTAAAATAATCTCACTTAGCCATTTTCTTTGCAGTCGAAAAGATGGAATTTCAAAGAAACCCCTGCCAGCAGTGCATACCTAAAAATTATGGGAAATTACATTACTAAAAATAAATTTTAATGAATGGCTGCACTCAGATGAAATCCAATAAATAATTCTAGACAATTACCCAGAACTGAAGGCCATCATAAACGTAAATGCAAACATCCTCAGAAAAACATTAGTGGACCCATTCCAGCAAGATTCCAATGGACTAATATGTACCATGGCCAAGCGGGCTTTATCTAAATGGTGCTATGCTGGTTCAGCATTCAAAAACCTAAATCAGTGTAATTCAGCATACTAACAACATAAAAGAAAATTCATATGATCATTTAAACAGATGTAGAAAAATCACTTGACAAAATTCAACACCCATTCATGACAGAAACCCTCTGCAATTTGAAACTAGAAGGGAACTTCCTCAGTCATTTAAAGGTCATTTTCGAAAAAACAGAAACAACAAAAAAACCATAATTAACATCATTCTCAGTGATGAAAGGCTGAATGCGTTCCCCTAAGATCAGGAAAAAGGCGAAAACCTCCACTCTCACTACCTCAGTTCAGTACTGAAAGTCTTTATCGTAAGTTACATTAATCAAGGCAGAATGACATTGGCAATAGGGAGGTGTGTTGGTTTGCTAGGGGTGACTACCTCAGACTGGGTGGCTTAACGACAGAAATTTCATTTCTCACAGTTCTGACAGCTAGGAGGAGTCTGAGATCAAGGTGTTGGCAGAATGGGTTTCTTCTAAGGCCTCTCTCTCTCCCTTACAGATGGCCATCTTTTCCCTGTGTCTTCATATGGTCTTCTCTCTGTACATGACTACGTCTAAATGTCTTCTTCTTATAAGGAAGGGTATCAGTCATGTTGGATTAGGGTCTTCCCTAATAAGCTCGTTTTAACTTAACTGCCCCTTTAAATATCCTATCTCCAAACACAGTCACAATCTGAGGTGCTGGGGTTGAGACTTCAACATACGAATTTTGGGGTGACACAACTCAGCCTATAACATTCCACCTTTTGGCCTCTCAAAATTCACATCCGTCTCACATGCAACATACATTCATCCCATCCCAATAGCCACAAAAATTTTAACCTATTCCAGCATCAACTCTAAGGCCAAAATCTCATCTAACTATCATCTAAATTAGGTGAGACTTGAGCTATGATTCATGCTGAGGAAAATTCTTTGCCATTTCTGAACCTGTGAAACCAGACAAGAAGTTTACCTGCTTCCAACACACAACAGAAGCGACAGCCATCAGATAGATATTCCCATTCTAGATGGAAGAAACTGGAAAGAAAGGGTCTTGGTTCTCAAGCAAGTCTGAAATAAGAGCAAATTCCATTGGATTTTAAGGCTCAAGAATAATCCTCTTTGGCTCCATGCTCTGTCCTCTGTGCTCAAGAGGGAGGGGCCTGCCTTCTGAGCCCATGGGGGTGGCTGTCCTACCCCCTTCACCCTAGGTACATCCACAACAACTTGGCCAGCTGAAACCCAAGAGGTGGCCCTGCCCTCTGTAACCGAGGAGGCGAATGGTGGCAGTGGCAGCCCTGTGGGCCCCTGAATTGCCTTTAGGATCATTCTTGTCTTTTCTTGAAAAGGAACACAGGTTCATAGCCAGATGGCTCTATTGGCCCATCCTGTAGAATCTCCAAAGTCCAATAATAGCCTGCCTTCATTTCATCTTGTCTCTGTTTAGTCTAAGCTGGCAGTATCTCTCCGCTTATGTAAGTTCTCAAAAACTTGGTTGGCTTCCTATGCAATTCACAGGGAGCCAAGCCATCAGGCGAGAGGGGCCTCTGCAGATCTTTCCTGGAACACTGACCCGCTATTGCTGGTTTCTGCTGAAATGGTTGATTGGATCCTGGAGTCACACTTGTCGTCTCTTCAGCAGGTGGTGGTGGTCCAGCCACACCCTTGATGTTCTTTCTCTCCAGGCAGGCTTTCTCATGTTTGCAATATGGATAAACTGAGGGTTTTCCAAATCTTCACATTTTGGTTCCTTTTGCTTAACAATTCTTTCTTCAATCTCTCTGCTCTCACGTTTTACTGTAAGCAGCAAGGAGAAACCAGGCCACGTCTCAACACTTTGCTTGGAAATCTCCTCAGCTAAACACCCAATTTCATCACTCGCAAGTTCTACCTTCCACAAAACATTGGAGCACAATTCAGCCAAGTTCTTTGCCACTTTATAACAAAGATCGTCTTTCCTCCAGTTTCCAATAAAACGTTCCTCATTCCTATCTGAGCTGTCACCAAACGCAGCTTTAATATTCATATTTCTACCAATATTCTGTGCATGATGATATATGCTTTCTCTAAGACAACAGATCCTTTCTCTACAGCTCTCCTCTTTTCTTCCTGAGCCCTCGACATAATCACCCTTAACATCCATAGTTTTACTAACAGTGCTTTCAAGGGTATCTAGGCTTTTTCTAGTATGCACCTCAAAGCTCATCCAGCCTCTACCCATTACTCACTTTCAAAGCCACTTCCACATTTTTGTACAGAAGGAAAAAAATATGCAAGCATATGAAAATATGCTTCATATCATTGGTAGTGACAGAATTGCAAATTAAAACCACATTTCATAGCCACAAAAATAAAAACTCTTTATCAAGTGTTGACAGGCGGTGAGACAATGGCAATTTTCATAGAGTGGGTATAAACTGGTACAATCTCTTTGTAACACAATTAGGTGTCATTTTCAAAATTGAAGATGCATGTATCCTGTGAGCTAGCCTTTCTGCCACACCTAGGTGTATTCCTCACATGTAATCTTGCAAATATGCACCAATTAGGTTGAATCATATGAAATCTCTAAGTTTGTACCATTTTGACCTGTAAAAATTCCTGTCTTGCATAGTTCAATCTAACACAAGAATATTAATAGCAGTCACATTCAAAATAGCAAAAAATAAGTTAAAATAAATAAAACCTGGAAATGACCCTAAACGTCCATAAATGGGAGGAAGGAGAAACAAATAGTATTTGTTTCATACGATCAACTACTCTCATGCAGTAAAAAAGAACACGCGGTAGGTATATTTATCATTGTGGATGAATCTTAAAAACATAACGTGACACAAAGAAGCACGCCACATGTGCATACTTGTACAGCGTGCATACAGAATGATTCCTTTTATATAAGGTTCCAAAACATGTAACACCAAAGAATATGCATATAGTATTTAGGAATAAATGTGGTAAAACCACAAAGAGCAAAACGGGACCTCTGAAGGCGAGAGGATCTGATTGGGGATAATCACATAGTGGCTTCAAAGCTTTCAGTAATGTTCTGTCTCATGGGTGAGAGAGTAAGTCTACTGCTGCTGATGATTATTACTATTGTTATTATTATTATTATTATTACTAAAAGGTTCCAGTTATATATACAGTTTTGTCTGTAAGGAATCTTTCATAAGCATCTAAAGTAAAATAAACCTAATGCTACACAATAATCTAATTTCACTTTAATTAAAGCAAATATTTGACATCATACATCATAATGAATACATGATAATTAAAGGAAATATAACAAACATTGTTCAAGGAGTACGCTGAGAATTATAATAAAAAGTAATGAAAATAGTGATTTAGCTCTACCATTATTGATTGAACTACTATCTTCCAAATGTTTGAGCTTTTCCTATACATACATACATAATAACATTCAATATTCTTAATTCCCACAAAACCTTAGAGGCAATCACTATGATGGCCACCGCTGACATATGAGAAAACACAGGCTCACAGTTACATGTTCCGACTAAGACAAATGACAGATGACGGCTAGGGCCTCACTGTGTCTCAGCCTGGCTCCGAGTCCACACTTTTACTCCATGCACACACCTTCCTGTGAGATGCACAGGGCAACGCTGGACCTCCGAGTTTCAAACCTGAGGCCCAGAATTCCCTGCCCTCTGTCTAGCACGTGACAGCCGAGGACAGGAGACCCT